TGGTATCGAAACCTTCCCTTCAGTATCGATACTCTTTCTTCGGTATCAATACTGATTGAATCAATATCGATACTACTTAGCAGATTCATCCCATTTTAGCCTGTAGTATTAGTACTGTTCTATCAGTACCGATACCCGTACCCAGAATTTCCAGTTTTCAACCTAACTATCACCCAAATGGGGTTAAATTTCGTTATATATACACCATACAATACTATTAAACTCTTCTTTAACTATCCATACTAACATTCATTCATTTAGCCTCTTAAAACATCTAAAATCTTCCAAGAACAATCAATTCTAAGAATTACACCACTTTTCCTAAGGTGTTCTTAATCCAATCCAATACTTCTAATATCTTATTTACCTTGTTGACAAGTCAAATCTACCAGTAATCATCAATAAACACTCCTATTTTAACATATTATTTAAAAACCCATTTTCTTCAATCTCAATCATCTCATCCATCTCTTATCTTATTCAACACCTCCTTAAGCCTCTATAATCATCAATGATTCAAAGCCAACCAAAAAAAAGAGGAAAAACTAACCAAATGCAATCTTACCTTTGAGATATTGAGTAGAGTTCTTCCACGGGAAAGAAAAAGAAAAGAGAGATGAATATGTTAGCTTTAATTTCCCCTTTTGTTTCCCTAAATCCCTAATAAGGGATAAATTTTAAATTCATTTATCCTTAAAGGACCAAAATACCCTCTATATTCATTCATTTATACAAATTGGTCTTAAACATTATTCCAATCATTTCCTATCTTTTATAATTATTCAATTTAATCATCAAAATTTAAATCTTTTCAATGAAGTCACTGACTTGATATTTGGGGTAATACAGAAATAGTGATATATCTTCATTTCAATTGAAGTAATAAATGACTACTTTAAGGCATGAGAGGTCATTTATTCTCGATTGAAAATAATTAGATATTATCGTTTCTCTCTTAGAATTATTTTGTGTTGTTATTTTGAATTAAGAATGAACTTTAGAATGAGATTTTAATATTTCTTTATTTTGATTGGAGTAAGAATCGATTTCTTTAAGGTATGAGAGGTCGATTTTTCTCAATAGGAAATAATTAAATATTATTGTGCTTCATCCTAAAATTCAAAGAATATTATTTGTAAGGGATCTTGAATTAAATTAGACTAGAATTCTTAAATTTCATTGTAAAGGTCACTAATTAATTGACTAGGTGTCGATTTAAGGCGCTATAGGGGTGCTAATCTTTCCCCACACGTAACTGACTCCCGAGCTCAAACTTTGGTAACGCGGACTGCAAATTTGTTATTTTAATTAAATGAATATTTTTTAAAATGACAAATATTTTTTGGGTGACTAATTACACCCTAATCAAAGATTGGTGGTGACTCCTTGAATCACGTTTTATTATTAAAAGGTCAATAAATTATTCAAAGCGAGACCCCTTTTAAAATACATTTCGATAGCTTGGCGACTCTGTTAGGGGCTTTTTTTAGAGAGTCAGGCTGATAGTCAATTAATTAATTATCTTTGCAAATGAAAATTACAAGTTCATTCTAATTTGATTTTTGACCCCTTGTGTGGTTTGAATAGATTTTTGTTTGCAATTTGATTAACCACTAAATAGTTGTACTGATTTGTTCACTAATGTTTTCAGTGTAAATAAATGTTCAATTTTTTAAGACTTCTATTTGGTGTTGTTTGTTTTGTTTTCAATTTTCCTCACACACTGCACAACTAAATTTGCATAACATGAGCTAAAACCCTGCTCCGTCCTATTTATGGAGTAAGAAACTACTCCCTCGTGTGGTTTTCACATGCATATGAGATAGTGTATCACTCATAATGCTCATGTCTGACGGTCCTCGTGATGGTTTTTACCTTCGTATTAGATAAGGAGGTATGAACCCTCAAATTAAACTAAATCCAAAAGCTTGTGATGGGCTAATATTGAGGGTTGGCAGTCTAAAGGGCACTGACAAGGACAATTCAAGGACTTCTTACTTTAGTGTTGAACCCAACATATAGTGAGCTTAGAATCCAGATAGAGCCTTACCCATATCTTAAAAATCCCATGAGGAGAGTACACAAGGAAAAGCCTTTTTGAGTTTTTTAATTTTTGTAGTGTAATTTTAATTTCTGAATAAATGTATGCAGACTAGAGATCATGTAGTTAGGTTTATTTTTTCGAATTAGCATGCGAACTAGATGGCATGAGGTTAGGATTTTCTATAAACAAAACATGTGGGTAGAAATCCTGTTTGGGTAGGATATGCTAAAGCATAATTGGGTATCCAACATGTCGGGTAAGTTTTTATCGACAAATTATATTATGTCCGATTAATTCCTTTATGATTATTGACTATTTTTCTCTTGTCCTTTTGTTTTATTTTGTTCCCATTTTTATATTACACTATTCATTCAATGGTGTTGATCCATGATCGATGTCCATGTAGAAGGCTAGTATTACGGAATGAAGGATTCAAAAAGAGGTAGAAGAAAATATAGTCATTATGAGATGGCCAGAGCAGTCCCAACTAACAAATGGAGATAACTTTCAGCCTGGGTACGTGTCAGATCTAATTGGGTACACACACATCAATGTCCGTCAGAATGACCTGAGTGAGCTGAAAGAAATTTGGGGAAAGTGGAAAGCATCTGATAAGCAGTTTTTTTATCAACTCTATAGTGACATCTTGTATCTCTTAGATGTTCCGATTGACTGAAATTTGTTTAGCGCTATTGTGCAGTTTTGGAATCCTGCTTATAGTTGCTTTACTTTTGGCCGAGCAGACATGATCTCTTAGATGTTCCGATTGACTGAAATTTGTTTAGCGCTATTCCGTAGTTTTGGAATCCTTCTTATAGTTGCTTTACTTTTGGCCGAGCAGACATGACGCCTACCATAGAGGAGTACCATGCCTTGATTCAGTGTCCGAGATTCCAAGAAGACAAGGTGTACACCAAGCGACTAAATACTCATTCCTTAAAAAAGAAACTACTTTTGACGACTGACATGAGTGAAAAGTGGGTCGTAAGAGGCATCAAGAAGAAGGGAGATATTGAGTGCATTACCTGGATAGCTCTGAGAGAAGTAATTGACCGTAATCCTGATAGGAGAAAGAAGATTGACATGTTTTCTCTTGGTGTTTATGGGTTATTCATATTCCTGAAGGTTCTGGGGCACATACATGTATCAGTGGTTGACTTGCTCGAGAGTCTGGACATACATGTGGATTTAATTCTAGTTATCTTGGTAGAAACGTTTTGTTCTTGAATTCTTGTAGACGATAAGTAGAAGGCTGCTTTTAGGGTGTGTACCGCTATTTCTAGTATGAATCCCCAATATCTTCAAACAAGTTGAGAGGACACCTAGTTGAGTGTTTTTAAAAGTATTTTCACCTTTGAAGGATTTCTTTTCTCGAGAATGGCTTGGGGGTTTCACTGAAGAGAAATGGATGGTCATTTTTAAAGATATCTGAGGCAGTGATATATTATGGCATGCTTCTTAGAACGTTTCTTCAGACATACTATATAGGTGTGGAGAACGAGATTGGGTTTTGTTGCCATGCATATGGGGTTCTGTAGGGTATGATCCTTTACTGGTTTCCAAGTAATATGGGTCGAGATAGTTTATTCGAGCAACGTGGGATTTATCTAGGTCAGAGTTCATATTTAAAGGAGAGTAGGACAAAAGTAAAGTCAAAGGGGTTGCTGATGCTTGAAAGCATACTGGTATAGTAAATCTCTCTACATTTGACTTAAAGTTATCACAGGAATACGAGGAGTGGAGAAGCAACAGAGTTAATGATAATATCTCGATAGTCAATCCTGAAAATACTCAGCCTATGGAAGAACATTTCAGAGTGGTACCATCTCCACTAGAACTAGTCAGACATGATTTTGAGGCTAAAAGAAAGCAGTGGAAGGAAACGTTACAGAGAATGGAGGATGAATTGTGCCTGAAAAGCTTAGAAATCAACATCCAAAAGGGTCGAGCTGACCGCATCGAAAAGGTAGAAAAACAACTCAGATTTGATTTTGATGATCTCCAGTTGTCATACCAACGAATGACCACCATCTCAAGTAAGTCTCCTGCTGAAAGGAAATAGGAAGTGGCAAGTTTAAAGAGAGAAGTTGGGGAAAGTAGTGAAGAGCTTAAGAAGAATAGACATCACTACTTTCAAGAGAAAAGGTTGTGTTAGAACAACATCTGCAAGAGAGTCAGGCCTAGAATGAGAAATTGAAGGGTAGAGTCTTGAGTTTAGAGACAGATTTACGATGGTACCAAAGTCGAGAAGGCAATTTGAATAGTACGAAAGCTAAAAATTTAAAGAAGCGTGTGAGTGAACTTGAAACTATGGTTCAAGATTTCTAGAGATGGACAAGTGAACTGTCAATAGTCCTCTATGAAGGAGTTATACAATGGCGCCATCGTTGGAAACAGACTCAGTGGAGATTTAAGCAAAGGGATGACCTCATCGCAAGCTATCTGCAACATGCTGAAGAAGTGGCTCAGTACTTGGTTGACTTATCATATGAAGCTGATGCTGTGAGCGAAGGATTAGAACCCGAGACTGAAGAAGCTCAGAGGATTTTAGATTTATTGGGGGATATGCAGTAATTAGGAGAGATAGCTCAGATTTATATATGATATGTTTAAGCCTTGTAACTAAACATCGTTTATAATATAAAAATTTATTCTAAATAATCTTTACAGAATAAATACCGTGCATTTTTGCAACTACATTGCATTTTACTTTCCGTATTGCATTTTATTCATTAATAGTCATATTTTTCATATTCATTAATAAAAGGATTGTATGGCAGAATACTGGAAACTTCTAAGCATCCATACAATACTTGAGAAATGGTAACGGATGAGAGAATTGCCCAAATTGAGAAGACTCAGCTCGAAATGCAGCAGAATTTCAGGAAAGCTCAAGAAGAGATGTGCGAAAAAAAATGTTGAAAGCTCATAATGATATGATGAAAAACTAGCAAGTATGTTGCAAGGAAAGAATGCAAGTCGCGAAAAGTCTCCAATTATCGGTGCTAATATCGAAGACCATGTGTATCCCCCGGGTTTTGAACCACGGGTTGATGGTGTAAAGCCTCTTAGTGTTGGTTCCTATGAAGAACCCTTATATCATCTCAACTGTACACCACTGCATATTATAGCACAACAAACAACGACTGCTCGACCAAGAAAGATACACATAAACTTACTTGGCACCTTTGTAAACCCGCACCATCTTGAAGATGTCCCAGATTTCAGCGAGGAGGGAAAGAAAGAGCAGACGAAACAACTAGTGGAAAATTGGAAACAACTAAAAACTGAAATAAGAGCTATGAAAGAAGATACTAGCATGTATGGGATCAATGCTAAGGAGCTAAGTCTGGTTCCTGATTTAGTGCTGCCATCCAAGTTCAAAGTTCTAGATTTTGAAAAATTTGATGGCACGAGATGTCTTTCTGCACACATCACTATGTTATATAGAAAAATGATCGGTTATGTGGGGGATGATCAACCGCTAATCCACTACTTTCAGGAGAGCCTGATAGGATCAAGCATCCGTTGGTACAATCGATTGAGCATGGCTCATATTAAATCCTATAAGGATTTGGCTAAAGCTGGCCTAGAGCATTATAAACATGTGAAGGATGTAAGGCTTAATCGAATCATGTTGCAGAGCATGGGGAAGAAATCTAATGAAAGTTTCAGACAATAAGCTTAGAGGTGGAGAAATGTGTCAGTACAAGTTCATCCACCACTTGAAGAAGAGAAAACTAACATGCTTTTTGTAAACACTCTGAGAGATCCGTTCACTGGCCACCTCATAGGAAATTCATCCAAGAGCTTTGCTGATGTGGTCACATCAGGAGAGATTATCGAAATGGTGATCAAGAATGGAAGACTTTACGAATGAGAATCTAACAGGAAACCGTCATTGAAAAAGAAGAATAATGAAGTTAGTAATGTGAGGAAGTATCACTCCAATAACTTTACTATGTCTCAACCTCAAGCCAAAATGTTATCCACACAGAACTCTGCCAGACAAGGGGTAAGATAACCAAGACAAAAGAGGGAAAGGCTTCAATTTGACTCGATTCCCATAACTGACAATGAATTGTTTCAGATCTTATATCATAAGCATGTGGTGTCATCTTACTATATATCACCGATGCAGTCTCCCTACCCTAAATGGTATAACACATTTACCCAATGCGAATATCGCGCAGGGGCTTCAGGATATTCAATAGAGAATTGAATTACCTTTAAACATATTATCCAAAGATTAAGCAAGAGGAACGCCATCAACTTTAGTGATATTGAGCAACCAAATGTGGCTCAGAACCTGCTGCCAAACCATGTAGGTGTAGGGGTCAATGCAATTGTTGAAGAAAAGGGAAAAAATATTAAAACCAAAGTATGTGAGGTAAAGTCACCCATGTATTAGGTATAGGGGCAGATGATCAAGGTAGACTTGTTGGCCTTTAGCGTGGACAAGAGTAAGCATGCTTGTCAATATCACAACTGTGAGGGTCATAGAATACAAGATTGTGTTGAGTTCCGAGCTTTAGTTCAAAGGTTGATAGATGACAAGGGAATAGAATTTTTCCAAGAAGTTGTTGAAAAACAAGAAGTAGAGATTTGTGCATCTGAGGGTTCTTCCAAGGGAGTTTACAATGCCAACTATCCTCTAGTAATCACACCAAAAACTTGTATGGCAGAGAGAGTAACTCTAAAGGTGGTGATCACACCCTGTCTTCATTCCCTTATAAGGATAATAAACAAGTCCCACAGAGATATGTGTACCAGACGAATAACGTGGCTACTTCAAAGGCCACCAAAGTAGAAGTGGATGAGGTAGGCCATTTCACCAGAAGTGGGAGATGTTATTCTCCCAATCAGACCAAGGAACCCAAGAAGACAACTGACGCCGATAAAAGGAAGAAAGTTGAAATACTGCTGAAAGATGATGAGATGATCATTAATGAGCATGTAACAGAAAGCAAGGCTGTGGATTTTTTAAATTTTTTGGAACATATCGAGTATAAAATCGTGGAATAACCAGAATGCTTTTTTGAAAGTCTTGAATCATAATTTCGTGCCGAGAGATATAACTGTGGAAAAAATAGATCGACTAGTTACGAATAACCAAACCGATAATTTCATCTCTTTCTTTGATGACGAGATCCCATCTGAGATTATTAGTAATCCCAAAGCCATGCATATTATCCTCGGGTGCAAGGGGCATGTGTTATCACAAGTGATAATTGACACTTGATAACTCCATAAAAAGACTCTATTTCTAGTCTGTTTACTTAAGTTATTACTCGTCTAAACAAAGTATGCACATCGTATTAGTTGTATTTAGTTGCATTTATGTTATATTTGCTTGTGGTGGATAATTTTTGCTTCGGCGAAATTTATTTGGTTTGACTGATGCTGCCAATGAGAAAGGCTTGTGTGGATTGTGTATGTACAGGAAATTTCCTAACGAAGAACATTTCAGTTGCGAAAAATTATTTCACAAGGGCCAGTGGAATAGAGAAGATAAAGACAGTGAGGAGAAGATTTATCTCACCAAGGAAAGGTTTATCTTGCAAAGTCTGAAGCGTATATGATAAAATTGCCTATGTCACGTGCCAACTGTATGACTACCGTCACGTGGAAGCAAGCCCTCAAGATTATGAAAACAACCAGCCTCATTTCATTTTTTAGCCTAGACAAGATAATAACAGGTATTTAGGGAATTTTCACTTACACGAAACCCTAGGAGATTTCCCTTTATAAATACCCAGCCACAGCCGCCAAAAAGGAGGCAAGGAAGAAAGAGAGCTTTAATTGAAGCGTGAGGGAGCAACTGTATTGCTTCCCCACCATTTTCCAACCAATCGTCCTTGGTGTCCTCCATAGCTAGGCTATAGCAGAGCCGCGGTAAGGCCTCGAGAGAGGCTGGCCGCCAAGGCAGGCGCGATGTTGATCACAGATGTCACGACAGAGCCCCCGGTTTTGGGAGTCGTTATTCCTTAGTTCTTATTTTCTTTACGTTGTTTGGGGTTGTATTAAAATGATGATACTTTGGCAGACTTCTTGATAAAACCATGAACTGTTTTACTTGGTGTTAATATTTATTTTGCCTAAACAATTGTTTTCTACTTTATGAATGATGAATTATGATTTTTCTCATGACTGTTTTGTTCATTGTTTAAATATTTTGCCTAGACACTGTAAGAGCTTTGAGAGATTACCTAGGGTCTAGGTGAAACACGTCTAGATATTGATTCTTAGATTCGAAAAAATTAAGATAGATCTACGTGAACAATGGAATGGATCCAGGATGGTGATGTTCTAACTTGTCTACCTTAGAGATAAGGAGAGGGTTTCAATCGACTAAAAGGGATAGATGCTAGAGTAGGATAGACAACGATTACAGATTACACTAAGAGGTATTACTACAACAACTTTATGACAAACAAACGATTGTAGTTAATGCTGAGTAGTATTTCCATAACAACCTTCTAAGAATACTCAGTAATCCTTTCGGGAAGCTTAAGCATGTCATAAAAATTCATTTTAGACTTAGAATAATTTCTTGTCATAACAAAAGATTAGCATAAGTGCTCTTTGAAAAGTCTGAATATATGAGGTTGTTTTGAATATATTTTAATCAACTTTTGCCTTTCCTTTATTTATTTTAATTCGATAGTTATCATATTTATTTTGTTTCGACCAAACTTTTCTACAATCATACTTTACAATATTTTGTTTTTCTTTATTACTAATAGTTTTCTAGTTTGACAAGATTTCAGGAATTAGCTTGTGACAACTAGTATTGTTGTGGTAAAACTTAAAAAGGACCGACTAATCCCTGAGGAGACGGTAACTCACTTACCCTATATTACATGATTCGATTTTGTATATTTGTATACAATTGCTTGCCTGAGCATATATATTTCCAAGCGATCAAGTTTTTGGCACCGTTGCCGAGGATTGACAACTAACAAAATTTTTATTTTTCGCCATAACAAGCTTTTCTTGTCACCTTTAATTTACTTAGTTAACTTATTTTCTTTTTTTTGAAGGACTTATCATTTCATGAACCTGAGATCTGCTGGTAAACCATTATAACTATTCGACCCTGAAATTGAACAGTCATTCAAATAAAGGCGACGTGACCAACGAACCAGAGAGTATATGAATCAGCTACAATTTCAAGCTACAATTTCAAGCAACAATATAGGAGATTAGACAGATCCTGATGCAGCAATTAATCTTCAGTGAGAAGTTGCAAGACCATGAGCAATACAAGATCACTTGAACCCAATTCTTGACGATCAAAATCCAGGCATCGTGGCACCTGAAATACAAGCAACCCATTTTGAGCTTAAACCGGTGATGTTCAACATGCTAAACACTATCGGTCAATTTGGTGGTTCACCTAATGAGGATGCTAGACAACATATTTATTCATTCCTTGCAGTGTGCAATTCATTCCGACAACAAGGAGTGCATGAAGATGTGCTTAAACTTAAACTTTTCCCCTATTCCCTATGCGATAGAGCGAAAGCGTGGCTCAGTGGAGTTCATTCAGGCTCAATGGAATCTTGGGCATATTTATGCAAGAGTTTCCTAATTAGATACAATCCACCCAATATGAATACACAGTTACGCAAAGATATTGCAAGTTTTCACCAAGGAGATGATGAATCAATGTATGAATGTTGGGATAGGTATAAAAGTCTTCTTCGCAAATGTGTAAACCATATATTTCATGACTTGACTCAAGTCGTGATGTTTTACAACGGATTTGATGCACCTACTCAAAATTTGTTAGATGCCTCAACAAATGGTACTTTACTTGACAAATCACCCGATGAAGCCTTTGATATCCTCGACGGGATAGCAAATAATGACTATCAATTCCGGACTACAAGGCTGGGAACTGGTAGAAAAGCATCTGGAGTATATGAAATTAAGGGAAAGGATTCAGTAGCAGCTCAACTTTCTGCCACAACTAATATGTTGAAAAATTTGCAGCGTCCTAATAAGGTGAAAGAAGTCAAAGCAACCAGTAATGCATGCATATTGTGTCACAGCAACCAACATGAGAGTGAATGTCCAGAAAACCATGAATCTACCAATTTTGTGGGCAACTATAATCGAAACAACAATAACCCCTACTCAAATACATACAATCTTGGCTGAAGACAACATCCAAATTTTTCATGGGGCAATCAAGGGAGCAACAACAATCATGCAGGAAATTATAATAGGCCAGAGCAGAGTAACTCGAAACATCAACTTTTTTAGAATCAACATCATCAGATGCCCTGGCAAAATACTAAAGGTACAACTTCTTCCTCTAATACCAATTCCAATGCTAACTCCTTGGAAGCTTCGTTGTAGGAATTGATGGACTCGACAAAAGATTTCATGGCTTCAACAAAGGCTCTGATGCACGAGCACTTATCAACAATAAAAAACCAAGGAAATTTATTGCAAAGCCTAGCTGCTCTTTTACAAAGCCATAGTTCATCCCTAAGAGCATTGGAGAATCAAGTGGGTCAAATCTCCCCAGTGATACTGAAATCACTAAACATCATGAAAAGGAGCAGTGCAGTGTACTTACACTAAGGAGTGGAACACAAATTAACCTGAATGACAGGTTTACGGGAAAACAGCTGGACAATTATCTTCAAGGCATTACACACCCAGAAGATC